TGTTCCTTTCGCACCACAGTACAGTGGTACCTTGGTTCCCAAACCTAATCCATTCCAGAAGTCCGTTAGAAAGAAATGCAAAATGGATTTATCTGTTCCAGACTTTTAAAAACAACGCCTAAAACAGCAATTTAACATGAATTTTACTAATGAGACCATTGATCCATGAAAGGAAAGCAATAATCAATGTACTGTACTATAAAATAAATAAGACAGTATTGTAGATGATAAAAATTAAAATTACTTTCCCCCCCCTTACCTGCACTGATGATAGTTATTGTATGGATGACTATCCAGTTCCGCAGTCACACAATCAAGCAATCAGTAGCTGAACAGGGTTCCACAAAGTCACAAAAACAAAATTAACTGAAAAAGCCTCAAAAACAAAAATGCCAAATATATAGCAAAAACAAAAGCACCAAACTTAATCTGTTCTGGAAGTCCATTTGACTTCCGAAATGTTCAAAAACCAAGGCACAGCTTCTGATTGCTGCAGGTGCCCCAGAAACAATAGCTGACAGCCGCAGTGGACATTTGGCTTCCGAAAAGCGTTTGAAAACTGGAACACCTACTTCCAGGTTTTCAGTGTTTGAGAACCAAGGCGGTTGAGTACCAAGGTGGTTGAGAAGCAAGCAGTGGCGGAGCTTCATGCTCTGGCACCAGGGGGCAGAGAGCAGGCAGAGGCGTGGCTGGTGCGCATCCTGGGGGCATGGCACATTGCCTGTGGGGGTGTGGCACCCAGTGCTAGCAGGGGGGCAGCAGTGATGGCACCCCACCAGGATCGTGCTGCCGGGGGTGGTGCGCTCCCCCCGCACTCCTCTTCCTCCGCCAGTGGAAGCAAGGTACCACTGTAATAGTTTTGCTTTGTTATGGAACTGTGGCTTTGGGGCCGAGAAACTGTCATGTCATGCTAATTTTCATTCACACCAGTGGATGTGGTATGGCACAACAACATTGCATTGGACAACATCGCTACCCCCCAATACTTTCTGCATGTATGTGTTTCTGTTCCCCCATGATTCCCTCATGATTTCCCCATGAAAATAACTTTCACAATTGTTGTCACTTTACTCCCATGATTTTCTCAGTTAAGGGGGCTGCAAATGCATTTTTTTCTGGAGTCAAATATCAGAGTCAGAGTCAGCCCTGGGGCCACCAGGATGAACCCAGCTAGTGCCTTGTTGGAGCCTCACATAAGATAATCTGATGCTTGTTGAGAGACTAATGGGCCTCAGTGATGATGCTGTCCCTGATTACATCACTTTTCGCTTGGTAGAGGGAAAAGGCGGTTTTGTGAAGCCATCATTGCTTAATGACTTCAGACATGGCCAGTGACTGAGGAACTGGAATTGCAGCCATTTCCCTCCCATCAATAAATTCATTTAGATAAAAAGGTAGGTTAAATTTAGTTCCTTGAATCCAATTACCTGGCCTAAATGAAGGAAACGCTCTGTCTGCCAAGCAGTAGCAGAGAGTCAATGTTTACCCTGAGCAATTAAATCTGGCTAAATATATATAGCTGCCATGTTCCTTGAGATTTCCTTCTCCCCCACCCCCACTCCTTTGTTTGGAAAAGGGCGATGAAAGAAAATATGGTTACAAGCAGCCATCATAGAAACTCCTGGTTTGAATCTCACTGCACCACATCCACAAAGTCTCTAGGTGGCCATTGACAATGTCCTGCCTTCTAGACATAACTTTATGTCTGAATTATGGAGCTGATAGATGAGATCCAACATTAGTCATACACAGAGTATACCCACTGAAATCAACATTCTAACTAACATTAGATCTTGCTAGATTTGATTTACTAAAGTAAATTGCACAAACTGAGGTAAACTGTACAAAGTGTTAGCATTCAAAAGTGCCGTATGAATGCCAAAGGCAGGGACAGCCTACCCATGGGTCTACTCTGAGTAGCTGAATACAACTCCTAGTTTCTACTTGAGGGGTTCTGCAGCAAAGTTCTTCAACTCTGTGCCCCCAGATATTGTTGAACTACAATCCCCATAATCCTCAAACAGTTTAGCCAATAGCCAGGGATGATAAGCGTTGTTACTCCAACAGCCTCTGGAGACTCACAGTTGAATAAGGATGCTCAATTAGAGTGCATTCACACATGAGCCTTGCATAGCAGTGACTTCACCTGGTCCTCCATCTGGCCCAGGAATGACCTGAGATCAGAAAACAAAGATGCAGTAACTGGATCAGATATATTGCTATGGACTGGCTGGATGCAAGAGTGGTGGGAGGCACCAGCTGGCAACCACCAAGGGAAGAAAGCTAAGAACCAAGGAGTTGGTGGTGGGATGAGTGGTCAGAGGGGGACGAGGGAGCAGAAGATGTCAGAAGCTGAAAAGGTAACAGGGTTTAGTGAGCAGGAAGAAGCTGGAGCAGAGAGCAGTCCAGAACCAGAGGCAGAAGAGGAGGCTGCAGAGGAGAGAGGAGAGGGCCAAGAGACTGAAATGAGGCAGGCTGCTGAAGAAGCCAGAGGCTGTATATATTATTCTGTATACCCATTACATTCCAGAAAACGTGGAACATAAATTGCCTATATTGGTCATATAAACCAGGACAACCAATATGGTGCCACTAGATGCTGCTAGACTATATGTTCCGTAACCCCTGGCCATAGCCATGCTGTCTGAGCTGATGGGAGCTATAGAGCAACAACATTCATGTTGGCAACTCCAGATATAAAAAAATAAACTGAGTCTTTAGACTATGGTCCAAGAAATTTCCAGCTGCTCAAAAATATTATGAGGATATTTTATCACCTCATATTAACTGTGAGATAGTACCCAGTTATTTCATTTGTATATTCAAATCACTGTGTTGCAGCAGAACACAGATAGCTAATGGCTAATTTGTTGTAGGACGTAGGACATCGCTAGCTAACTACTAGAAACAAGAACATCTGGCGTGAATGGAAACTTGGAAATGTAAGAATTCAAAAACTATGCTGATGCGTAAACAGGCTTATTTCTAACATGTATAGGAAATTGAGAGCTATTCATCTGAGACTTTATCAAAACAATAGATTCCATTCATATGTTATTGGAGCAGGACTATACCTTGGACAGGGGTAATGGAAGTTTTAGCTGTCATTCAAATCTGAGTTGGAATCAATGGGACTTTTGATATATGTGGTTATAATAGGAATTATTTCAATGTTTTCCTTTCTTATACTCAATTGCAGCAAGAATAGCTAACCTGATGTGCTTCACGCGTTCTGTACTAGGACTCTCATAAACCCTAGCAGCATGACCAATGGATGTTGTAGTCCATTGGATGTGAAGGGCACTACATTGGCTACCCCTAGTTTAGGATAAGCCCATCCTGGTTCAGAGCTCAAGCTTCATCAATCTTAGTGGCTGCTCACAAAGTCAAGCAGTATGGTGATGTAAGCAGATTCCAGAAACCCTCTTGGTTGTGAGGTTTTGGGGTTGATTTGTGAGCTTGTTTGGGCCCTGGGTGAGAGCCAAAAGGGTGGAGTAAGGAGGTGTGTCAGGATGAGAAGGAACTGATATCAGAAACTTGTATTAAAGGTTTTGCTGTGCATTTTCGTAACTTTTGTTGTTGGTTTAGTTAAAGATATTTGTACATTAAGTGAAATAGGAATTGTCTAAATAAAAATAATAAATTAAATATATAAATATTGCTGATTCGTTCCTCCCAGCCACACCCTCCTTGGGGGAATCCTATCCTCATCATTTGCCTCTACCCACACCCTCTTCCACTACGTGGGTGGTGAAGCCAGTCATCCAGGGCTTCCATTCTCTACTCCACTGCATCTGCCTGAGGGAGAGCGATTTAACCCTTCGCTACTTAACTGATGTTTCAGGATGCTTACCCAAGTCCTTGATTTTGGAGAGTTTCTGGATTAAAAGCTTTCACTGGAGGGGCAAGTGCACTCAGCGTCCTAGGCTGCTTTTCCCCAGCACTGAGTACCAGGGGAAGGGTCTTCTCTGTAGTAACCCTTATATCTCTAGAATAGGCTCCATGGGAAAATCCCTACTGCATCTGGAGGACACCAAGTTAGCTATCCCCCTCTTATAATATTTGTTTCCCCTCCATATATATATATATAAAAATATATATGTGTGAAAAGTAAATTTCACACAGAACAAGAAAGCCAAACTGAAAAGGTGGGTCCACCTTAGCCCACAATGGTTCATTTAGAAATTATCACTTGGAGGTGCTGGAGGCGATCCATTTTCTCAATGGCTTTAGGTGGGCTTCTGGTGCTGCCAGTGGCATGGTGCCACAATTCATATCCCCAGTTTCAGAAATATGAATTTGGTTAATTTTAAAGGTCTGAGATTTTTCTTCTCCTGCTCAAATTTTAATCCACAATAGATAATTTATTCAACCCTATCTGCATGCCTGCCTACCTACTCCATGACCTCCAGACCTCTTTCATTTACCTTTGTTGCTGCTATGGCAGTATGGGAATAAAGGGAAGGAGGAAGGTATCCCTCCCCAACCTCCCACTATACACATGTGCTGATGTCTCACACACTCCCGTGGCTACATATCAGGGGCCAGGAGCAATGGGAAATGCTTTCCCTTCCCAAGTGCAACTCAACAGAATAAAAGCAAACAAACGGAGAGACAGGTCTTCCTTCTGCTGCCAGCAGAACATCAACAAAAGTAACTGAGCAGTGGGAGAGATGGACTGAAGTGCAGGGGGGCTTGCTGGAGGGACCAGTCCCTGTTGTACTCCTAATGGCTTCATGAGGGGTGTAGCATTTACAGCTGCACTTTGGATTGGGTTCAGGAGTGAGTAGAGAATTTCCCAATGTTGTGGGAAACATTTTACATAAGAACATAAGAGCCTGCTGGATCAGGCCAATGGCCCACATCCTGCTCTCACACAGATCAACCAGGTGCCCATGGAATTCAAGCAGGATTCAAGCACAAAAGCATTCTCCCCTCCTGTCCTGAATCTTCTTTTGGATTGTCTTGTGTTCTAGTATGAGAGAGGGAGCATGAGAGGCAGAAAAACTTCTCTATATCCACTTTCTCCACACCAAGCATGACCTTATACACCTCTACCATGAGCTTGTTTGGAGGTTCTAGCAGGGGAGCGCAGCTATCATACACCCTTTATCAAAGAACGGTATACTCCTTCTATCTGGGATGGTCATCCTCTTCCACTAAGCATGCAGCTTTGGGAGGGGTGCACATGGAGCAGTAAGGGAGGGAGGGGACATCTGCCTAGCCAGCCAGATCAGCTGAATCAACCCTGGCGATCAATGGGGTGACAGATGTCGCAGCCAGATCGCCCTCACATCCCTTACACACCTCTACCATGTCCCTCTACTGGTCCCACTTCTCTTGGCCTGCTCTTTATGTCCACGGCTGGCTTTGATTCAACTGTGGAAACAAAGGGTGACACCTTCCAGCCACACTGGGTCAGCTTGGCTTTCCCCCGTGGCCCCAGCCAAGTTAAGTGGCCAAGTCCTAGCAATGGACCTCATCAATAAAAAAAAAAGTAATGTCTGAATGAGCTACATCACTGGGCTTCAACAAGATGCAACAGGAGCACTAACACCCTGCAGATACATGGTAACCCATTAAGAAATGGGTCCACATATGCATTTTTGGGTTAAAAGTGGGTCCTGGGCCTGAAAAGGTGGAAGACACCTGAACTACTTCATACACATTTTCAGATATGCAAAGGATGATTGAGATGTGAGTAGTTGGTATTACTTGGTGTATGTTTGTCCACCGGCAACAGTACATGTGGTGATGAATAGCAGGGGTGGGAGGGAGAGACACCACAAAACTGAGCCAAGAAGGTGACCTCCTGGTTAAACACAGAACTGCTTGGGGGTGATTATGTGAAGGCTGAAATCAACTTTCACCTTAATAAACATGCCAGGTGGCCTCGGGCAAAGAAAAACTGGAAGGATCTCTTCAGGGAAATTGTACACTACTATGTATTTATCAAGCACTAGACATCGTACACACAGTGTTGCATCTGTGTGCATGTTGTGTATTGGTTAGAGTGTTGAACAAGGATCTGGGAGACTGCGGTTCAAATCCCCACTCAGCCGTGAAAGTCACTGGGTGACCAGTCACCATCTCATGGGGCTGTTGTGAAATAAGGTGGGGGCAGAGAACCATGAACATGACCTTGAGATGGGATATAAATTATGTATCATTACCCTTTTAGAGAAATGAAACTTGAGTCGCAATGGCTTCCAAATCCAATTGACTTCATGCTTTCATGGCATTCTCCTGTTCACTACATCATACCTGATTGGATGGGATTTATCATACACTTTCAGAGAAAAGAAACTCAAGTCATCACAGCAGCTCCCAAATGGTGGAGTTAAACCAGATAATGTGTGGACAACACCAGTGTATGATTGACAATTGGTCCTTCATTATGCATAAATTAAGATTTATGCTAAGTGTTATGGGGAAAATGCTAGTAATGGGGGAGAAATTCAGTTTGCATTATTTATTTATGAGATGTGTGTGCCACCCTTCATCAAAAGGCCAAAGACAACTTCTCATAAAGGCAGGAGGAGGAGGAAACTGTTCATAAATTATTACGGTCATAATTCCCCTCACGTTAAAGTCTGCTGAAAGAGGTGTGTCTTAATTCAGTTCTATCACTATCAAGCTCATTCTTGCAACCGTAAGAGCTAAAAACATGGAGCTTTATACAAAATACAAAAAATAATATGTTGAGATTTGCAGGATTATAATTATTCTTATTTATTAATTTTGTATAGTGCCCTTCGTTTTTAGAACTCAGGGAGGTTCACAACATAAAAATACAAGATAAAAATACCTAATACATAATAAAAACAAGAACAAAAAGCAAAAAAACCCCCCACAAACCAAAAACCACCATCCCCACACACATTAAGATACTAGGAACTATGTTCTGTCATTGCATGGCATGATCATAAAATGCACATTCTTGGATAAATTTCATGAACTCTCAATGTTTTCTCAAGGAGTAACCATAGGGACACTTTAAACACAGTTATATCCACATCTTAGTTTGACATGACTTTTAAGAGATTTTGGTTTATATATAAAGCCTGATTTCAAAAAACAATGTTAACTTGAAGGATCACCATTCTACAACTTTGACCTGTGTAACTGCTGCTTTTACAAGACAATATTCATTCCAGACTTTCAAGGAATCAATTCTTTAGTGTTGACTTCTGATAATCTGTAGGAGTTGTGCATTATAAGATAAAAGTGCAGTTGCTGAATAAGTAGAAACTAGGGATAGGCGAGGAATTTGATTCAGTTTACATTTAAAGAAAGGGACACGGGTGGCACTGTGGGTTAAGCCACAGAGCCTAGGACTTGCTGATCAGAAGGTCGGCAGTTCGAATCCCCACGACAGGGTGAGCTCCCATTGCTCGGTCCCTGCTCCTGCCAACCTAGCAGTTCGAAAGCACGTAAATAGGTACCGCTCCGGCGGGAAGGTAAACGGTGTTTCCGTGCGCTGCTCTGGTTCGCCAGAAGCGGCTTAGTCATGCTGGTCACATGACCCTGAAGCAGTATGCCGGCTTCCTCGGCCAATAAAGTGAGATGAGCACCGCAACCCCAGAGTCGGTCACGACTGGACCTATTGGTCAAGGGTCCCTTTACCTTTACTTTTACATTTAAAGATGAACCTCCCTGATACTCACTTTCTAAAACAATTCATGAACCAAAACACAGCCATCCTTCTAAACTCACATATCTCAAAATTTTGCAAAGCAGTTCTCTAGCCAAGTCCTAACTCCTAGCTTTTATTAGCAGTGAATTCCTTTCCCAATTCACAGTGAGAGCAGGCAGTAAATCAGGGGTAGTCAACCTTTTTATATCTACCGCCCACTAATGCATCTTTCTTGATGGTAAAATTTCCTTACTGCCCACCAGTGCTCAATAGAAGGAGGATTCAGCTTGTGCAGTAGAACCGCCTACCGCCCACCTAGAATCCGGAAACACCCACTAGTAGGTGGTAGGGACCAGGTTGACAACCCCTGCTGTAAATGGTGGGATTACACAACTGAGTTCAGAAGCATCAACTTCTGGAAAAGATTGCGGGGGCCTAACGCAACGTCCTGACATCACACATGCAACGTCATGCAACGTTCTGACATCATGTGTGCAATTTCATGAGAGCCAGGGAGCAGAGCTGAACCCAGTGGCAGCACATGGCCTCAGTAGCCGGTGGCCCCATCCTCCCCCTGCCCCTCCTGTACAAGGGAAAGACAGGGGATGTCAGCCTCAGCCAGGGGCGGCGGCAGCAGCAACAGCAGGAGCTGCCAACCACCAAAGCCATGTCACTCCCAGCTCCACATTCACCCTCCTCTGCCCTCTGAACAATGGGGGGTCCCCCCCAAAAAGGGGAGCCCCAAAGTGCCTCGGCTCCTAGGAGTTGGTGCCTATGATTGGGGTGACCCACTCCTTCCCCAAGCCTCCTCTTTCCTAACAAACTATTTAAAATTATAGCTCTCCCTTTTCTCTTCCTAGAGCAGGGTTTCCCAAATGTGGGTCTTGTTATGTAGTCAGTGGTCTGTGTTTGCCTGAGCTTGAGTCTGGACTAAGGATTCTGAGCTCCTGTGTTCTGATTCGATACATGTTGTCCAATCACAGAACATTTCAGGATTTGGGCCTCTGCCATTGGCCCTTGAACTCTAAGTCTTGATTCGCAGTTTGGAAGTGTAGACAGCCAATCACATTGGGAGTGGGAGTGGCCCAGGCTTTCAGAAATGTATATAAGTAGTTGCTTTGCCCCCATTTCCCAGTCATGTAGTTCCATAAAGGGCCAGCTGTTTTTGGACTACAACACCCATCATCCCAAGGTAGCCAGATCAGTGGTCAGGGATGATGGGAACTGTAGTCCTAGAGGGTACTTCCAAGAAGGGAAGGGAGCTGGCAAGAAAAAAAAACTGAGGCTCTTCCAGTTTTTTCATAATGAAGATGAAGTCATTTAGCATAGCAGGCCATCTGGCACCTACTTTAGGGAAGTTTTTAATGTTTTATTGTGTTTTTAATATTCTGTTGGGAGCCACCCAGAGTGGCTGGGGAAACCAGCCAGATGGGCGGGGTATAAATAAATTATTATTATTATTATTATTATTATTATTATTATTATTAACGGATTGCCCTCCAACAACTAGAAGAATAACATGATTTCACTTTTCCCACCCCAAACAGATACATGCAAAAAGGGATATATTGTGTTAAAGCATACAAAACTACATATATATTTTCATGCTAACTTCAAAACAAAAAAACAGAAATAGGGTGAACCTAGTGATGGAAGTTTCTGAAAATCTCAAAGTCAAGTTAATCCACACAGATTTTTTTCTACTTCCCATCTCACTCATCTATCTCTATCAGAAGCAAGTTTGCTCCCCTTTGCTTTATTAAAATATGCAACATTATATTACACGCATATAATATACCCATATGCACACATAAGCATAATGCATGTATAATTCAATGTATGCAGAAAACAAAGACTACTGCAATAGTCAAAACAATTCCTGGTAAATTGCCTTAGCATAATCTTTTAAGTATACCTCCCCCCACCATGACTATGAATTGCCCGAGTAGGTAACTGGTTGCCATAGGAGCTAATGGTTGCAAGGAAGCAGAGAGTTTCAGCAGATGATGAATTATAACAGCACTGCAGCCATAGCTTCAAATCAGCATGCATTGGCAGTGAATGAATATGTCCTTGGAATGTAGAGGCCATACTTTCTCAATTAAAAAAAGAAATTAAGGATTTAAAATTAGACTCCTAACAATTAACATTTGAAACAGAGTTAGATTTAGGGCAGTGCAACCAGTTCTGTTGCACTGGGTACTGAGCCTAGAGTGCCACAACTATGACATAGTGAATTGAGCAGAACAGAAGGCGAGGAGTGGGGTGCTGAATTTTGGGCTCACACAGGGTACTACTAAAATTAAACTGGTGCTCTCATATGTCTTGAGTTCATCATTTTGCAAGTTTCAGCCCAGCAGCCCAGGAGCATATATGGCACCAGGTGTATGGAGGTGGGCATAGCTTGAAATAAATGTCTTCATGAGCCACATGGGGAGGCCTGGTGGGTCTAATTAAACCTATGGGTTAGAGGTCTCCCACTGCTGCTGCGAACAATATGGAGCTAGACCGGCCAACCGCTTGCTATGTTTAATGCAAATTGTGTAGCCAACACATCTTGGGGGAAGAACCTGCTGATACTACTCTTAGCAATCCCACACACACTTAGTTGGGAGAAAAGTCTGTGTTCACCCTAAGATGGGATCCTTCATTCAATAAATTG